ACCTAGCAGTGAGACCCTGAACACCTTGTAGGCTCTTCCCTAAAATTAAAAAAAAAAAAAGGTCTGTGATCCAATGGGTTGCTTACATATAGTTAAAAACTTGAAACATTAATTTCTCCAATTCAAATGCTGAGACGGACAGATGCAAAACACATATGGGAAGAATATGGGTGAGTGAGATAAGTCCTAGCTGAGGTTTTTGTAATATTTCTAGCTGAAAAACAATCTTAGCAGTTAAGCTACAGAGAAGCGCTTGGGTTTTATCCCAGAGACAGTGCAGACCCACTGAGAGATTCAGAAAAGTGAGAAGGATTGCAACATCTCCCCTGTGGAATGCGAAGATCACTTTCCTGCGAAATACAGACCCTAAGCCGAGACAGGTGTCAGGAAGAGCATCCGGGCGGTTCGGACAAGCAGGCAAAAGCATCTGGGCTTGAACCACATCAGTGGTGGAGGAATAAAGAGGAAATGCGGCAGAGCAGCCACAGGGGAAGCGCACTGGCCTTCACTCAGGGCACAGAGGCTGTGACGAAGGGGCAGCAAACGTTGACAACCCTTCTTCTGGATTATACGATGCTCCAGAAAGCGTATGTAAAGACAACAATACTGCATTCTAGGACAGGCTGAATTTGGAATCCAACAGTACAGCCAAGTGGTCCTTTTCAGAATACTTAGATGCACAGACCAGGAAGTCAGAAAATGTAAAAGAATGGTAATTATCTCACATATGATACATGCGAAAATTATTATTCTAATAAAATACCTTTGTTAGGGGGCTGGCCAGATGGCTCAGTGGTCTAAAGCACCTACTTGGAACAAGCTTGGGAAAGCACAGGGACCGCGGTTCGATTCCCCCAGCACCACATGCCAGCCCGCCCCGCCCCCTGGTGGGCTGAGCTGGCCACACACACACACACACACACACACACACTAAATAAATAAATAAATGTTTTTAAAAAAATAAAATACCTTTGTTATTACAAAAAAAGTTAAGCTATAAAATACGTAGTAAGTTAAACAAAATGTATAAAACATTTAGTATAGATAAACAAAAGGAAATAAGAAATACAAATACAAATCCACACGATCCTAGTACTCAGATAAAAACTGGAATTAAATATGGTTACTTTAGAGATGAATATACAGAAATAATGGAATTATATAGCATACTCTCTCTGTAGTAATTGGTTTAGTCATTTAATAACAAATTATAATTATCTTGCTATTTCAATTAATATTTACTTTTTATTTTTCATTATATAAACAATTCTGAGACTTAACTCTTCTCAGCAGTATTTGTGCTTAGATGCATAATTATTTTCTGAGAAGAAATTCCCAGCAGTGGGGCGAGCGACTAAATAAATGATACACATTTTGTCAGTTTTTACTTTTATCAGTACATGCCACATTGTGTAACAATTATGTTCCTATGGGGAGTTGGAACACCTACATAGCACAACTCAGACCCTTTTACAGCTTTTGATAGATACTGCCAAACCACTCTCCAGAGTGGTTACAGCAATTTACGCTTCAATTAGCAACGTATACCAGTCCTCAGAGCTCTACATTTTCTCCCAAAACTGAAGTTTTGTGTAGGCCTAGTCACTCAGCGCTTTAAGACTTTTATAAAATAGAAATGCAAATTGAACTGCTGTTTCCATTTTGCATTTATTGGCTAGAATTTAAACTATTTGTGTTTTATTGGCAATTCGCATTTTTCCTCTTGCAAACTGCTAATTCTTACCCTTTGTCGCCTTTTCCTTTGGGATACTTGAGGATCTATAAGAGCCCTCTGTATGCTAGAAACATACTGAGATTTTGTCTTAAAAATAAAACAATGGCTTGTCACCTGTTGTTTATTTTTAGTGAGCACTGTGTTAAGTAACTTTTTTTTTTTTTTTACATTATTGGAATAGTCAAGGTTTGAAATTCTGTTATGCAGAATAAGAACAAGATGTACCCAAAGGCAAACAGAAAAACAAAAGCGAGAGGCCACGGTTTCCCTTCGCTTCAGTCTGCCAAAGGCAGCAGCACTTGGTAACTTGGTTGCAGAAGGAGTTCGGGTCACCACTCCTAGGTCACCACATACCGACTCGCTCTAGAGAATCAGAAAATAAAACCAGCCCGGGTCAAAATGAAATCGAATCCAAATCTCACACCCTTCCTTTTCATATAACACCTGAACGCATCAGGAAAAACAAAATCAAACTATAAAAAATTTAAAAACTCAAGAAGCAAAGGAGCAGTTTAGTTATTCAAAAATAAAAAAAAAAAAAAAACCACGGAGCATTTCTAAACGGCTCCTTTCCAATGAACACCTGGTCTCACCTTGAAGAGAAGGCAGCTGTGTTCTGAAAGAGCAGAGCTATGAACCAAGGAAGGTACAAACGTCAGACTGGCCTGATGTCCATGTTTTCTTTCTCCCTCTCTCCCAAACACCTCAGACAGCCCCAAACACAGAATACACACATGTGTGCATGTGTACACAGACAAGTACACACACGTACACATACAAAATAAGTAAGATTCATCCTTGTTTCATAGATTGACTTAATCAGAAGCTGACAGAGGAATAGGTGGATGTATCAGTAAGGTTGTTATACATAATTATAGACACTATGTCTACAATTTGAGGGAAGTTAGTATTACACAGAGTCCGAATTACCATGTACACTTGGAGAATGGAGGAAAGCAATAGTTGCTCACTGCAAGAATCTAGAAACCTCAAAACAAGAGGGACAGAGGGACCAATGACGTTGCAGCCCCGGTGCAGAGCTGATAGCTTGGAAGCTCCCTGGAGAGCTGCTGGCGAAAGTCTACATTCAAAGGCTGGAGAGTCTGGAGCCTGAAGTACGTGGACAACAGCAGCAGTGAGAAAAGCTCCAGCACGAGGACAGAACAGTGCGCCCGTGCACGAGCTGGTCTCTCCTGCCACCTTTGCTTTTCCTTCTCTGGGCCCTCTGACTACTGGAGGTGCTACCTATAGTCAGGGCAGCTCTGCCCCACTTAGTTCATTGACCCACGGGCCAGCTGTTTATGGGCAAACCCTCAAGTATGCTTTTCCCAGTTTCTAGGCAGCTCTTCATCCAGTTGGGTTCACTCTCAAGATTAACCATCTGGTAACTGATGCCCTGGTGAGGAGGACAACAGAAGGGGTCAGAGGCCTCTGACTAACAAAAGGCCAGGCACGACAGGAACAGAACGTGAGGGAGCAAACAGACACAGGGATTTTCCACAATTTTGTCCTATCATACTTTCCGTCACTGTTCCCAAGCATTTACATTTTCTTCTTTAAAAACAGTGATTATCCACACCTAATATGTTCACTTTCATATTTAAAAATTTCTTTATTCTTTTTCTCTATATTAAAGGAGCGTTGCCCACCTCTGAATCAACTCAACTTTCAATCAGGCCTATCTGCTGACATACCTTCCTTTAGCCACTGTGCTCACCCCTCTGCATTACCCTGTCCTCTTAACCCAACACCTACTTCAAAGAAGCACTTCTTCCTGTACCCCACGCAGTACTTAATTCTAGAGTAGGAGGTGGAGAGAAGGAAGGCCGGAGGGCGCTGCACACTTTCAGACTTGACAAGATCACAAGATCGTAAACACCAGGCCATCCAGAGAATTGCCACACTCAGTGATCCCAATTCGGGGTCATGCTGCCCTAAGTGGAAAACTGCCAGGCACTTCCTGTGCAGAGTGGAGCTCCAAAGTCCAGCTCTGGGTTTGGTGTTACAAAAGACATTTTCTTTTTCTTTTTTTGAGACAGGGTATTGTCTTGCTAGGTAGTTCAGGCTGACCTTGAACTCACTATGTAGCCCTTCTCTTGCAACAGGTCAGTTTCAGGTGTCCTTAAGCACCTAGGACACTGCAGACCTTCTCTGTCTTCTACCTTTTGTGGTGAGTCGCCATAGGACATCCAACACTTAGGAGCACGTGGTGCTAGTTTCAAACGTCTCCAATCCAGCTTACGGGTCCTTTCTCCCCAGTACAAAGCTACAAAGGGAGGAGCTGGGAAAGCCCTGAGAGGGTCCCCTTTCCACAGTGAGGCTATCAGTCAGGATCCAAGATCCCCTCACAAAGAGAAGGCATGGGCTTCCCTGCCCCTCAGTGTGGGCTCAGATTTGCCACTGTGTTGATAAAAACGCAGGTTCCTTTTTTTGTTTGTTTGGTTTTTTCACATTTGCGCTCTTCGGTCACCAAAATATGAACCCTGTCGAAAGAATCAGAAAGTAAAACCAGCCCTCGCCTGCAGAAAATCTAATCAGAACTCAGTGGCTTCCTTTACATACGCTATCCAGAGACATCAGCTAAAATAGAACAAAAGCAAACTTCCGAAAAATTAAAAGCTCAATTAAGCATGCCAGAAGCAGTTTGATCATTGAAACAGGAAGCATTACTATACATTTTTAAATGGCTGTTTTTATATATAAACAGCATCTGTCTCCAGAAACGATCTGGAGAAAGCAGCTTCCTTGAGCACAACTTGGAACCAGGGAAGGGGCAAATGTCACTCTCAGATGTTCTCTCTCTCTCTCTCTCTCTCTCTCTCTCTCTCTCTCTCTCTCCCTCCCTCCCTCCCTCTCTCCCTCTGTTTTTGTCTCTGTCTGTCTCTCTATCTCTGTCTCTCCCCCACCAAACACCTCACATAGCACCCAAACACAGAACACACATACACATACACACACACTCTCACAACCTATGTGAGGTTGAGGACAGAGCAGCAGTGGCTGGGGTGAAGCTCTCCACCAGTTCTTCCACAGACCTCAGAATAAATGCCTAATGACAGAAGCCAACAGCAGCCCCGGGTTTAACTCACTCACTGGTGCTGGAAGGAAAGTAAACATTTCCAGCAAGATAAAGCTCTTGGGACCCTTTATCTACCTTAACTCCTCAGCAGAGCAGAACCCCTGCTACACAGTGTTTCTCTCCTAGGAGAGGACCACAGATGTTCCCTCCGCCTCAGCCCTGACCCAACCAACCCCAGACACCTACTGGACACAAAGGAATAGGTTGCGAGGATGCTGCTGAGGAAATTCATCTCCGTGCGCTCTGCGATCGCCGGCTCTGTGGTGGGGCTGAGGGGCAGCCTCATGGGGCATCCAGAGGAGGATCCTGCAGACAGTCAGCGGCACCAGACTGGCGCTCTCTCTCTCTCCTCCTGTTTGGAAACAAAGTGAGTGATGACACAATCCTGCTCCCTGAGGCCGTGTAGGCTCAAGAACAAGAGCCTTGAAGTGTTCTATCCCTGAGCTGCAGGCCCAGTCTCCTGAGCTTTAGCCATCTTTCTCAGCCAGGGAGCCACAAAGATCCTGGGTGTCTTCTTTCTTCCAGTGAGACTGTTTCAAGGAAGCAGCAATTCTTTACACCCACTTCCCCTATCTCCTTTCTTTAGCCTATCTGCCTCCACCTTCTAGTCTTCACACTCTACTTCACCTTCCCTGGGGTTCTGCCTTGCACTCTCCCGGCTCACCTTTGAAGAACAGCCCATCGGGTTCCAGTCACCATCTCCTCAGTCACTGCTCTTTAGCCCCAAGCCACAGTTCACTTCTCATTTCCCTGGAGCCTGCACTGACAACATTTGTGTACCTTGGTCAGTTTGCCTCATTGCTGGGGTCAAAAACTGTGTACCTCTGGCAATAGGTCAGGGCTGGCTATCCCAAAACTGTCAAAGAGATTAGGTTCTAAAATACTTGTTCAAATTTGAGACCTCAGCCTGCTTTCTGCTTGAGCTCCACGATTCCACCTGTGACCATGATGGTCCAGTGTCTGCTCCACATCATCCATGGACAGAACCACTCAGGGGTCAGAACCAGGATGGGCATCTTGGTGTCCAGATGTGTGGTCTATGATGATAGAAGCTCTTGCCTTTACTAGGATTTTCCTCAGATCCAACATCACCATACCCAGTTCCCTCAGTACAGGCTTCACAGAGAGAAGGGCCAAAAGCCCTGATAACTTGAATTCACTGCTGCTGTGAGCTAAAGGAATTGAGCCACAGGGTGACTAGAAGAATGGAGGACCCAATGCCTGGGCAAGACACGTGGGCATTTAGGGAGTCACAGAGAATAGTAACACGGGCCCCACTTAGCGGTCCTGGACAGCTGTAGTCCAATAAGGTGGATAAAATGGTCACAGCAGAAGAGAATTCTCACTCTAGAAAATTCCAACAGGCTTCAGAGACCAAACTAAGGAAAAAGAGATCAACTCACAAGTGAGACAGAAATAACCACAAATTCTTGGAGCAACCAGAGCCCTGAGAGTAGTGGGATGAAGATTGGAAGCTTGGGGGTCTCTGAGGGGAGTTAGCTGCTGTGGCGAGTTCCCTGAGTCCTAAAAGGTAATAGCTGAATGGCACAAGTGGGTGGTCAGAGTTCCACTCTGGCTTCTCAGTAGGTGTGAGGCCTCCAGGACCCAAGAGAATGAAACCCCTGGTGTGCGTCGGGTTACCTAGACTCATTCCCACCTACTTATCTCCACCAGTGCTACCACAGTGCAGGCCTCCTCCTCCTCACTCCTCTGGGGGTCATGCAACAGTCTCCTACTTCTCTCTTTACTGACACCTTCTTCCTGCTCAGCTTAGTCCCACCCTTAGGAACAGGGTCATCTTCCCATAAGTACAGCGATGTTAACTTCACTGTACAGCCCAATGCTCCCACTTAATTTCTTAGTGCAGCACGCCTCTGTTTGCATGGTATCTGATGCTAGCTTTTGCTCCAAATTCATCTCCTGCCCAACTCACTCACATGAGGACACAAGCTACAAGTACGCCTAGTGCTCCCATAATGCTGCATTACTTTTAGCTCCCCAACTGCACCAAACTCTTTTATCTTTTTGTGCATTTGGCTGTGCTCTTTCTTTTACATAAAAGGTACCTGGGAGGTATTTCCTTCAAGAGCAAATTCAAAAGTTCTAAGAAAATGACAAAATCCCAATGATTTTTTTCACAGAAATAAAAAGTACATATTAACATGTATATGGAATCTCAAGAGACCCTAAATAGCCCATACAATCATGAAATACTCAGGAAAAAAAAACAGTTTGAGTTCTCATTTTTTAATTCAAAATTTGTTACAATGCTACAGTAATCAAAACTGGTACTGGCATAAAACAAATATTTGGATCAATGAAACAAAAGTCAAAATATAAACCTTTATTAAGGTGCCTGCTTTGGCACAGCACAGCGGCTAGGGTTCAATCCGGCATGCTGAGCCAGCCCCACCCCCTGACATGCTGAGAGGGCTATTGAGACTGGGCATGGTGGCATGCAACTATAATCCCAGTGCTTGGGAGGCTAAAAACAGGAGAATCATTATCAGTTCGATCTATGTAGTGAGACCCTGTAGATCTTGTACTAAATACAAAAAACAACAACAACAACAAAAAACTACATATACAAATGATTTCAGCATTGGTGTCAAAACCACACAATGGGGTAAAGTTCTCTTTTTAATAAACAGAATTAGGAAAACTCGATGTTCATATGCAAAAGAATGAAGGTGGACTCATAACCTTTCTTCTCATAAAAAATTCATTAAAACTGGATCCATACCAGGCATAGTGATGCATGGCTGTAATCCCAGCACTTGAGAGGTTGAGACAGCAGAATCGCCTGTAATCCCAGCTCTCCGGAAGCTGAGGCAGGAGGATCCATGCAAATTCAAGGCCACTCTGGGTTACACAGTGAGTTCAAGGCCTGCCTGGACTACAGGGTGAGACCGTGTCTCAAAAAGAAAAAAAAAGAAGGAGGAGGAGGAGGAGGAAGAGGAAGGGGAGGAGGAAGAGGAAGAAGGAGGAGGAAGAGGGATTGATAATCTAAATATAGTAGCTAAAACTCTTGATGAAAACAGATAAGAAATTCATGACATTGGATTCGAAACTGGTTTCTTGGAAACAACTTCAAAAGCATAAGTGATAAAGTAAAAGTGGACAAAACAGACTCTCTCAATATTAAAACCTTCTGTGTATTAAACAATGAAACAGAATGGAAAGGTAATGTACCAAATGGAGAAAATACTTGGGAGTTACCTGATTGACAGGGGCTTAATGTCCGGACTACACAAAGCACTCCTATGACTCACCAAAAACCAAAACCAAACAAATCCAACTGCACACTGGGCAAAGGGCTTGAACAGACACTTCTTCAGGAACCTAGAAGCAGTCACCTGGAAAGATGCTCAACATCACTAGTAGAGAGATGCACAGCAAAACTAAAGCCAGATGCCAGCTCACCTGTAGGACAGGTACTATCAGAAGAAAAGAAGGAAGGCAGAGAAAGAGAAACAAAAGAAACGAGAAAGAGAAAACACCAAGTCACAGAGAGGAAGCAGAGAAAGTGGAGCACTTGGGCACTATGGTGGAAAGCTAAAACTGCAGAGCTATTTATTAGGGAAGACAGTCTAGTAGTGCCTTAAAAAAAAAAAAAAGAAAAAGAAAAAGAAAAGAAAACGAAAAAGAAATACGATTATCACCAAGACCAGGCAATTCCATTTCTAGGTATCTAGGGTCCAGCAGTTCCTGCTACCCTGCGCTGGCAGGACCTACTGGTCCCAACCCAGGTGCAACATGGATAAGACCCTCTTCCAACGCCTTGGGACGCCCCCCACCACTCCGCAGCACCCCCCACCCCGTCCACCTAGTAGAAATTTTTGCTTCTTTCCGGGATCCCCCAGATCCAGTGCTAGCCCAGGCCCAGTGAGTATGTGGGAGAGCTGCTTCTCTGCACTACTCCACCTTATCCCCTCCAGACTCAGCTCAGGCCTGGGGTGAAACCCTGCAGTTGCAATCCTTGCAGAGAGTATAGGGGACAGAACCACCCAGCTAGTCCAGGAGTAGAACATCTTGCCAGAGGGGCACAACAGATTTATCCACAAGGGCAGCAGCAGGAAGGAGCTGAGAACATCATCCAGGCCCAAGCCAGGCACAACTGGATAAATCCAAACTTTGTAGATCTGCACCTGAACTTCTGTAGGTGCTAAGGTTATAACTGCACCAAAGATCTACAACAAAAGTAAAAGACCACCAGTGCTACACAAAATGACAACGAGAAGGAGCAAAATGCAATCTCAGAACCCAAGCCCACCCATAACAAGTGCAGAGGACACTAACACAGAAAACATAGGGAATCACACAGCTGCAATCAATAAATCAACAGCTTCTGAAATAAAGAAACAGCTGCAAAAAAGATAAAGGAACTCAGATTGGAAATGAAAAAAGAAATCCCTGAATTAATAACATTTTCAGTAAAGAATCAAATGCAGAAACATATGGAGGAAACCCAATGTCCACCCAGAACAAGTGCAGAGGACACTACTTCAGCTCAAATGTATGAATTAATAGCATCCATAGTAAATAAGCAACAGCAGAAAGTCATAGAGGATCTCAGAGCAGAATTCTTTTCTATTAGCTCAGCTCAAATGTATAAATTAATAGGGTCAATAGTAAATAATCAACAGCAGAAAGTTATAGAGCAACTCAGAGCAGAATTCTTTTCTGAAATAAAAAGAAAATTCTCAGAACTCATACCATCTGAAGTAAAGAATCAACTACAGAAACATAGGGAGGAAAGCCAATCTGAAAAAAACACTGCAGTAAAAGAATTAATAACTGCTTCTAAAGAAGATACTGATAAAAAAAAATAGAGGAGATTAGAAAACTTGACTGATTCCTTGAATGAGCAATACAGGAAAGAAATAGATCGCATGAAG